ACCAAGAGACTTATTTTTTGGTTAAATCAAGCGGCATATACGTGGCATCCAACACTTGCAGGGCAGTTAATCACTGTAATAAGTTGGACATTTTTCTCGAAGGGCGATAAAACAAGGCGACACATTTCTTGCAACCGCGAAATACAATAGCCTGTATTGTGGTCCTGTTGACGATGGCAGCTGACGGTACTTCTCGACGCGGGCTTTGGACTCGCAAATCCGGTTTGAGGCTTTGCGACATTAATTAGGCTTGCGTATGGACAGGTTAACAAAGTACAGTACAGTACTCGTTTTGTTCTTCGACGATAATTTAGAAAACTTTCTGCCTCACCGAATTCCGACTAAGAATAATGAGGAATTGCCTGGGATTGGGAAATTCTCGAATTTATGCCTTCCGCAATCAACTTCCTACCATCAACTCACTGAGGTTGGCCGAATTCGATCTGCCGATGTGATGTGATGTCTTTCGAGAGATTGAATTTTATTTACCCATGTACTGTACCTTGATGATGGATTTTCTCCTTAATCATCCTCGGCTTCAGCCAGGCGAATTAAGAACCAACCCAGTCCCAAACCTGTGAAGCTATTTCTAGAAAATCCCATCAGATCTCTCTCGGGTCCTCCAGCTGCGTAATGTCAGCTTGCTACTCTGTCGCAAGGTGGCCCGGGAATGAAGATTCCCCAGTTTTGGAAGAAAACGAGTACTTTTTGAACATTTTTCCTATCTTTTCTATAGTCATAACTATCCGTTTTCGGAAAAATATTAGACTGCCCATCTGGGTAGGACTGAATGAAACTGATGCACCGTATGTTTGGGAGAAATCTGTAAACATCCGTTCGGATATTCTATGAAACGTTCGAGTTCATCAAAATTACGCTCATTTCACGTGTATTGACATTTCCGTGGCGCAAAATCTAACTTTTATCCCTTTATATAAACGCTTCTGGCTCAGCAAAATTGAGAGTCGACGAAGGATTCAAGACAAAAATACAGCTTTTCGTTCAAATTTGTGTGCGATCAATCAAACTCGTGTCCATCTAAACTTCCGTATCTACTTATGTGTTCTGTTACCTCTAACGACCTAAGCGCTATACTGTACACTATATACAGTACTTCCTTTGAAAGGGGTTTCTTGTGCAAACATATACAGTTATGTGTATGGACTAGGGAATGCTTTGTTGAAGGACAGTAGAACCTTGATTATCCAGGCTTTGTTCTCCTCGCGTTTGAACAATTACCCCATTTAAACAAATGAAGACTGCACCGCCTATCCTATGAGACTTTCCTGAAATACTCACGTCGCAGTCAACTCTACTCCCTATATACGAAATGCTTAGTCTTTTATTTGTATTACACAGGAAAACCATTTTCGAAAGTTTCGAAATTAAATTTCGCTTCGAATAAAATTTATGGGTTCAGAATGCATTTAATCGTGTTGAAATTTTCCCTAGACATATTTAGATTTTTTTTTGCATACGACCAGAACCGAATTTGAAGCCCAAATGTTGAATTTTTGTTTTTCCCTGAAATCATCGTTCAAGACCGATGTGCATACTATAATCGCGTAAAAACCTTTCCTGAATCGTATTCCTTTCTTGGAAATAAAACGGCTCGCTTTATTTTATTTGGAGCCACTTAAGTTATATACGATTGATAATTTTTAATTGCAGTCTGCTTCAAATTATGAATTCCACATCCTATCCAGACAGGGTACATACGATAGAGATTACGAATACCAAGAAAAAAAATTTGGGAACTCCAAAACTTATCTCATTATTTAATTCTTATATACTACTGTATTTTTAAGTTGAATGGATTATACAATTTTTTATACTGTAAAAATCTGTTGCAATAATTCGATGTCATAATATCATAATATCCGTTAATAGGTGGTATTTGAATAGTTTTAAAAACACCAGAAATATATTTTCCTGTTACGTAAATTATTGTTAAATAATTTCAATTAAAAATTTTTAAATCTCAGAACCTGAATATTACCATTTTTTTTTAGATCTGTGATGCTTGATTTTCTACACAAACGCACTCGGATTTTATCGCGGATAGCTGAAGTGTTACTGGATTTCCGTAGGAGGTCGTTAGGTTGTCCAAAAGTGGTTCCGAACCACCGTGTGTGCACTCCTTCAGTCCAGGGAATTTGTCGGTCCTGGTACTTGCAGTACTGAGTGGTATCTTTCAGCGCATCAATAGACTCTGCTTCGATGGAGAAGCTGCGATATGTACTATTGTATGCCACAGTTTCTTCTGGAAGATTTAATTTTGCTGTGGGGAGAATCAATTTTTGTGTGATTGCTGGAGCCCCTCCAGCACAAACGGAAATAATTTTAAAAACAAATCATGGATTAAATATTTCAACTGGAATGAAATTTTTGAGAATTTTTAGCTCGCTCTTGGACTACATTTTCGCTAGAATTGGACCAAAACTTGACTCAATCAGAGCAGTTCAATTTTGATCCAAAACTAGTCTAAACTTTGATCCTGAACTCTGAATCTCATCCAAAAAAATGTTTTTCCTCTGCCGTGTGACGAATGGGCAAAAAATGGCGTTTTTGAGAAATTTTGGACCACCCTTTGAATATATTTCAAAGTTTGGAAGAACTTTTAACGTTTTGAAGAACTTTTGGACAACGTTTCGGAGAAATTTTTATACAACGTTTTGGAGTACCTTTCGATGATTATTTATTGCTCATCGGGTAGTTCGGTCGACTTGGAGCACCCCAAACAACCCCCTGTGATAGAATGCTCCTTCGCCACGGATTTTCTCCGCAGCCGCGCGGCGGCTCTTGTAAAGGCGAAGTGGACAAGCTTTATTAAAAGCCTTGGCGCAGCGACGACAGCGGCTCGTGATGAACACGCCCGTTACCAAGGAATCGCCTGGAACCCTACACCATGCGAAAAAGCAAGAGGACGCTGGGTCCTGCATTCTCGGGAGCGGCCCGTTGACGAGTGTTTATTTTGCCTTTATCGCGCGGAGACGGGCCGGGGTTTTGGCGCGGGTTTGAGGGCCGCGTGATGGATCGCGACGACGACGCAGCAGCATCTGGTTGACGGAAACTGGCGGTACTAGATCGGCGGAATAGCCGCCGATGCAACGTCGGTGTTTGACGGATGACAGGCGCCCATTTTTCCATCCATGCTGCAAAAAACTGAGTCGAGGCCGCTTTCGCACGCATCCGCGGGAAAATTTTCGGAAGCTGGAAAATTTTCTCTATAGCGCGTCAGAGTTTCCAAAGACCTTCCGACAGCATTTTTTTTTTTTATCTACACGTCGCTGGAGTTCGCGACGGGGTTTTCCGAAGTTCGAACCTATGTTTCTACTCTCTAGCTTCCACTTTCAGTTGAAGGTTGAAGTTTCCAAAGAAACATATGTACTTTATTTTCCCCCTTGCGGCTCCAGGTTTTCGAAGTCCGAGGAGCGTCTTTTTCTTCGTTATGTCGCAAGGCTTCGCAACGGGGTTCCGCGCTGTTAAAATCTACGTTTCCATATTACCGCCTTCCACTTCTTTATCGAATGTTGGAATTACAGAAAAGAGAGATAGAAAGAGATTTTTATTTTACATAACACCCAGGTTTTCATCGGCTATCCGCCACCTTTTCTTCTTTTTTTGTCGTAAGGGTGTTCTCCAAAGTTCAAACCCTACGACGGGCTTACGTTTTCATTCAACGGCTTCCGCTTTCCTACTGAAGTTTAATCAATCTCTTGACGATTTCACGCAGGATATACTGTCCATGGACGCATTAGTACTTGGTGAAAACATTGCACACGAGTGCGCTGTATAGAAGCCCGGCACAGAAGCCTGCTGCGAGCTCTCGTCGAGTCTTCTCCCGAATCCAATCAAGTGAATTCAGGAAGAAGCTAGAACGTCATTCTATATTCTCATTTTCTTTAAAGACAATTTCGTTTTTGAATAGCAGTTATACTTTCGAAGGTCGAGAATTTTATTAAATTTCAATTTATTGATTCGCCGCGATCAGATATACTGTAAAAGTAAAAGAACGAGCCGAGCCCCGTGGTTTGCCTTTACTGTATATGAGAGTTCTCCAACCTTCTTGACTGGGAAATTCTTGTGTTAAATATCTTTCCATGTACTTAAGTTTCGGAACACTTCCTAAAATCAGTTCCCTCGACAGAATTCGCTAAGGAATTCTACACATAACTTATTCCTTAGTTAAAACTCTCTGGTGTTGGTATTTACTGTCAGTTAGTGGCGTAGAATTCAGTTAAATTTTTGCTGCGTTTTTCTCTAATTCTTGTGCATTTCATGCAATGCATATGATTATAGTATTAGTTTTATTAATGTTTCTGCATCGAGCCATTTTTCTGGCCGTGTTTGCAACCCCAATATGGGTAATAACTTCCAACCACAGATTCAACTTTGATTAGGGACGTTTCAATCCTTACCTATTGCACAATGTTGCTCTAATACAAGCACTTTATGTTTAACTTCATAATTACAGCATTTGGTCCTCTGTATCCGTAGTCCGATTCAATATCGTGAACTGCATCCTTCGTACATCTAAAGCGACGAGTTTAATTGCTTGCCCAATATTTTTCTTACGTACCAATAATTCAAAAGTCATTTACTCTGAAGTCTAAAATATTTTGCATACAGCAACGCGCTTGTACATGTGCTCACATATCATCAGTAGCACTTATGACAGGTTTACCACTTGTTAGAAAGTTCCAACTTGTGAAATACTGTTCGATAAAAACGAGTCCGATTTGAATACGTGTTCAATACGCCATTGTCGTTTATGCTACATTACAAGCTACGTTAAACGCAGGATTTTCGAGGTTTTTAACTTGGGATGAGAACCACGCAATGGCAACTTCTTCGGTCTAGATATTCAGTCGAAGCCGCCTTTCAAGTCCGCCAGTCCGGCGCTCATATTAGGGAGTGTCGACAAGCGCTTTGTCCGCCGCACAATCCGCGGATCTCGCTGCGGAGAAATAACTTCGAATCACGGGGGAAATCCTTGAATGTGTCATTCGATTTCCTCCGGTGTTCCGAAACGCCGGAACTCCACGGCTTTGAACCGAGCCTCACTGCGTCTTCTCCTTGCTTCCGGTGGGACTGAAAGGACGCTGCGAACAGTTATCGCTTCAGTATTTACGAGCCTTTTGATGCATCCGTCTTGAGTGACTGCATGCGAGGAACTCCAATGTTCGGCTGATGTTTTTTGCCGATTGCCTTGTGCAACATTTTTTTTTTCGTTGACAGTCATGCATTTTGAGGAGCACAATCGTTCGCTTTCAGGCAGCGTTCACGGTTTGCCTGTCTTTCCTCTGGTTGTCCAAACTCCTCTTGATTGCCCTGACTCATTCCTAGTCGAACTTTGATGACTCCAACCTCCTGAAGTTGAATTTTCTCCAATAAGTCTCAGTCTGAATTCCCTTAGAAAATATGCATTGAAAATCTTGCTAACTCGAAGGCTTTTATCCTCAAACCTCCTTAAGTCGAATTTTTGGGGGTTTTTGACTACAATATTATTATTTTTTGAAGCAGGTAAGAGAAGAACAATAAAAATAACTTGGGGTTTTGAAACTAAATGAAAGACTAATCGGGCAAATGAACCTCTCCCCCCCAAGTTCAGCATGCTTTAAACACATTTAATAAACATTTTTAGGCCCAGAATACAGTATCACCAGCATTTACAATTTTTCTAATTCTTATTTATTTCCCACAATAAATGCTCGTTTCCCTAACTCGAAATCACCCTAAATCAAAACCTCTCTCTGAGTTGAAACTTCCCTAAGTCAATTTTTTGCTGGTCGTCCCTTGAAATTTGACATAAATAGAGAGGTTTGACTATATGGAACAACCTTCGAAATTAATGGAGTCCATGTAAACTAAAATAATTTATGTATATGTATAGCTAAAACATTGGCCTTTTGAATGGATTTCGAAGAGATTTTGCAACCTCATACGAATGGAAAAAAAAATTATCGAACTTGTCTGAATAAGATTTAAAGTTGTATGATTGTTGAACCCCTGCTGCCCAGTTCGTACTTTCGTAATTGGTCAATTTTCCGAGAACCGCGAGTTCTTAATTCCGAACAGGGATGTTTGTTATGGTCTTTTTCCGGATGAAATTAAGGTTCATTAAAAAATAGGTATGTTGGATGTCATTTTTGTAGTTAGAAACAGTACTGCATTTGCTTTTAAACGATTTGTTAATATTTTTTTTTAGGTTGGTGTGGGGAGGCAGCAATTGGCGACGGATCCCCGTATTTCGCAGCCGATGTGCCGGAGGTGGTGATAGCTCAACGCGGTTCAGTGGTGTTCCTGCCTTGCACCGTTCATGATCTGGGAGACAAATCAGTGAGTATTCGTGGCGCGATGGGAATCAAGCGGTCGCCACATCGACACTGATTGAAAAGCTGACCGGAAGCGGTCGGTCGGAACTCCCGATTCTCGTGCTCACAAAGCCTCCGCCCCGGGGAGACTGCTAATCTTTTCGCTATCCCTTCCATTTGCTTCATTGGCAGCTGATGCAAGACCTGGAAAGATGTTTTCCTCCGTCCCCCCCTGGAACCCTTTACCCCTTTTCCCGTTCCATTATTGCGGATGCCTCAATCTTCGCCGCGTATCACTAACCGCTAAAGAAGCACTCGCACGACTGAGGCTAAAAAGAAACAGTCGTGAGCTTTTTCGCCGTCCACAAATGCTGTCTAAGCGACTGCGAATTAAGAAAAATAATAAATTTTTAAAGGTCTTTCCAGTTTGATCATCACATTTCCGGGGAACAACGATACTTACTGCCACGCATTGTGAATCTAGAATTTGCGAGATCGAGCGATAATCAGCGCGCAGTGAATAACGTTATTCAGTAAGCAGAGAACCTCGGCGGAAGATTGATGAGCACTTATTTCCAATTTATTCCCTCGAAGTTGTTGTGTAGTTAAAATGTTTGTGGCCTGCGCTACTAGCAGCGATTACAGTTTTCAGCATTTCGGCAGATAATTCTTGAATTTTCCCCCCAAGAAGCATCAGCGGTCGGACTCTATAAATTAGGATGAAATATACGATATGCTTGAATTTATCCCTTGGGCGGTGAATACAGAATATTTTATAAAAATGTGTTGCCCAAGGACGCAGAAATTATTTAAAAAAAACACCTAAACGTGATGAATGTACACGAATTCGGAGAATGGATTTTTCCCCTGGCCACGAAAAAAATGTCCAAAAGTAAAAAAAATTAATTTCATTTTGGCTTTCTGCTATGGGAGATAATTAGTGCGGGAGATTTTTCGAAACAATAGAGCCTGTTGAAGATTTTGGAATTAGTATACTATGCTCATCAGGATACGTTTTGGTGACCTATGGTCAAACTGAGACATGTCTGGATTCTAATAAACACACGTCCACTGCAAATTTGAACAAGTTGGAAAAATTGAGGTAATTCTTACGATTTCAACCGGGGTGCATCGCTTTAGATTAAGTTAAGGAACTGCGGAAAAGTAAGATCACAAACCATACAAAAGTTTAACATGAACGATAAAATTGATGATTTGGTCGGACGATCAATACATTTTGTCATTATTGATTAAATGAGGAGCTATAATTTGTACAGTTTGGTGGCTACGCACAGGAAAGCGAACAGCGATCGGATGGAAGCCAAAAAATAAAATTCTTTTTCGGAAGCCGGCGTTTCTTCGTGATCAAGAACAACTTCAATCGATGGGTGATGACAAGGTTGACAGCCGAAGTATTTGGTTCATCAGCAGATTCTTGCTGTGTGAACTCGTTATTTCGGGAAATTGAATTCGTTATTCGTAAAAAAAAAAATAATAGAAGAGTGTATGGAAACTCCGGAATCGTGTGCTGCTGACGCCGGCAACTTAAAAAATGAAACAACATGTTGATTGCTTTCAACGATGAAGAAACTATTTCGAGGATTTGCTATGTGTGTTCAGACTTGGCAAGCTGGCTCGGCAAAATAATCAACTCACAGCATTCACAAGTACAGTACTGGAAGTTCCTGGGAAGTGCTGAGGTTTGTTCTTCAGCCTGAACAGATAGAAAAACATGAATGCACAAAAAAAAAGAATTGCTATGAAAAGAGTCTTGGATTTCAAGTGAACCAGAAAACCCCGAGAATCAACGACAGTTCGTTTATAAATTTAACGGGGTGCCATGCAATTATTTTTGTCGTGGTCTTTCAATTTTATTATAGATGATTATGGTGACTCACGTTTATGACCGTGTCTAGGTTTTGTCAAAAGATATTTTACGAAATTTTATTCATACATATCGTCACTCTTTTGCTTTTGAAGTACAGTACAGTATATACTTGAAGAAAAAAAATAAGGGCTTGCATTTCATAGAGGTATGTATATTCGATCAATTTTCTGACGTCATGCTTGATTATTGTAAGCCCACGCTCAAACCAGGAAAATAGAGATTTGAAAGTGCATCCGAATCCCTGTGATAAAGTTTTCAATTCCCACGTTGCATGAATTTTCCGGTGGTGTAAGTCCGGTACAGTACTGTATTACGAAATCTCTCAAAATAGATGAGAGAAAAGTTTTCCAATTCAGGGATGGAAAAAAAATCATTTCCAAATGAACAAAGACTTGCTTTGAGTTTTTTCATCGACCCCAGGCTGGATTCGGACTTAGAAGCTTCAAGACGTAAAAATATCATCTGAAGGTGCCCAAGGTGGTAGCCAAACATTTGAACCCACCATTGTTTTTCTTATGCTTTGTTTCAGAAGTGTTCATTTCATTCAACAATTCTGGTCAGAATTAAAGCGGATGGACGCATTTCTGAATAATAGCCTCGTCATTCTTGTTGGAGACGGCTGTAACTTTTCCGGATGCAATTAGCGCATTCAATCTTTTTCTCATAAACTAAGGCACTATTTTTAGACAAGCAGAAGCGAGCATTGAGAGAGCATATAACGTTTTATTCTCTTCGTAAATCGTGCTCCAAACACTATTCAGAAGAGAGAGTGAGTATCCAAAGCGTTTGGATCTCCTGTCTGGGATGGGATGGAAATATGGCAGGAATTGTGCTGCCTGCCAGGACTGCATGACGAATATTTTTACTATTTATTTTTTGCAGGTGGCATGGATACGGGATAGGGATCAGCATATCTTGACCGTCAACAACACGACGTTCATTTCCGATGCCCGGTTTGGGCCAATTCACATGCCGCAACTCGCTTCATGGGCTCTACGGATCAAATACGTCGACACGAACGACGCGGGATTCTATGAGTGTCAAATCTCGACAACCCCGAAAAAGAGCCGCTCCATTGAGCTTAAAATTGTTGGTAAGTGTCCTGTCGTGTCTGAAACGCTTCTGGTTATGTGCAGTGGGCACGACGAATCCCATCTTCACATTTTTCTATACGCACCATGTCGCGGGAAAGGCTGTTTTCGTTCATGAAACCTTACGTTCAGTGGACTGTGCCCTTTTGAATCCTCCGAAAAAATGTCGGATCGACGAAATATTTACAGTTCAGGACCGTATAATCCACTGTAAAATGGCCCTCCTGGTGCATTAAAATCACCGAAAGAATACCCCTGCGAACGAAATAAGGTCACATCTTGGATTTTATAAATTCTAAAATCTCCTCTCTGCAGTAACATGAGCTGAAGTAGGGTTTTTCTTTAGATTTCAGTTCTTCGCGGCGTTTAGTGCAGGTAATGCGATGGTGTCCGATTTCACGGCACAGTTTTTAAAAAGCCTCACCAATGGTTAAATAATCTTAAAATTCATGTCATTCGTCTTCTCTTCGCACTTCTTCGTGAACTCATATTTTCTCGTATCGTGAACACATTCCTCAGTTCTCTCGTTTAAAAAACGTTCAAGAACTCTATCAATAAAGGTGTTGTGCTCTATTTTCATCCAACTTGAAATCGACGCTATTACTGTGAACCTTCCTCGAACACTTGTACACCATCAAAGTTTTTTTTTCCGAATACCGGGAAAAAAGCGTCGCTGAAAATCACAGACTTTCGTTTGACACGACACTTTCAAAATAATATCAACTCCGACATCATGCATGACGAAAGGGGTTATGGGTGATGCGCTGGTTGCTGATTTCGTTCTTCAATCCTCCATGGCAGCCAGATCTGTTGGGGGAAATTTTGAGAAAAAAAGGAAGGCAGGATCTGATGCAGACAATCCTTAGGAATAATCCGTCGTACTTTGCTTGAAGTTCTGTATTGTGTGTAGCAAGGAAAATCAGACTGCGCGAGAAAATCGAACATCCCTTTGTATGTGCATACTTCGACCGCTTATAGACGTGGTTCTTTTTTGTTTTTCACGTCAGAATATTCGCAATTTTCATAGTTCTTGTTCAACGGAATCTTGTGTTTGAGATTCATTTAATAAAAATAGGCTGACGGAAAATGATCATGAAATTGGGAGATAACTTGAAGTTCGTCCGAAGCGGGAGTTTACGGAGGGTGTAAAAAAGGAACATGGTTAAACTGTTTTGATTCGAAAATTTTGACAGACAGAACTGTATATCGAACGGTCAAAAGAATGAGCGCACCATCCGTTCAAGGATTTCCACCCAACCTCATTCAAAGAGGACTTTCATGAATCTGATTCAAAGAGGCTTCAATTTGCAATCTTCAGAGTACAATATTATACGCTCATTTTGAAGACAGTTTCACCGAAGGGGCGGAAAAAAAAAATACTCGTATGGTGTTCCCGTTCGGATTAGAATATGTGAGCAGTTTCCTGTAAATTTCCTGAAAACGGTCCGGTGAGAGTAATTTTTCTTCCAAATTGTATTAGAACAACATCTGAGGTCATTTATTTCGAAACTGCAATATTTGAAAGTTTCTTCCAAATGTGGGTTACCTCGACTGTTCAGGGTGTTGTGAAAGAAAGAAAATGATGCCGTGTAACGCATATTTGAGAACGTCAAACTTTTGATTATTATACAGTACTGTGAAAAGGTTTTCTGTTGAAGAAACTTTTTTGAGAATTTTTAAATGCTTGTTTTGCATGCGCGCGGGCTTACGAAGGACGATGGAAAAAGTAAGGAGCATGGTGTCCCTGGAGCAAAGTAACCGGCCAGTCAGTCGATTTCCGGAAAGCGGTCGAGCGAGTGTCAATTTTTGCCGCCCGAGGATTTCCGCCAAATTCGCCGCGTGGAATGCGAAACAGAATGAGGCGCGTCGACGGGGCTCCATATTTCAGTTGTCCGCCGCCTGTCCACGGACTGTCGGGGCAGACGAGCCGGGAATAAAACAGCGCACGCGGCGGACGTGTCGCATATTTCTTCAACATGCGAAGCATTGTTGCTCCGTTGAATCCCATCCTTCACGCTCCGCATCCCTTTTCCGGCGGAGAGCCTCAAACCCCAGGGTGGAGAGAGACCCAGTGGACGAGAAGAACTGCGCGAATCTCGACTGATCGCTTCGCTCTCTTGACATACGGCCGGCTTTGTTCTCCCAAACTCTTTTGCTCTCCCGCTGCTCGGCATCCGAGCAACGAGTTCGATCCGCTCCGAGTCGTTGACGAGCTCGTTGTTGATGGTATGTCCGTGTTCTCGTTGGGGCCACGGCTTCCTCATGTCGTGTTTCCGGAGTCCGAAAGCAGCCGTGGGAAAAAGTCACGTTTGACGGTAACTGCAATGCCTTGGCCTTGAATACTCACTGATGCATTGAGATTCACCATCTATATGCATCAGACTATGGAGTGACTCCATGCATTAGGGAGCTGAGTACAGTATAGTGAAAGTTTCTTTAAGGAGCGGAATAACAAAGACACAAACACTCCCGAACTCCGTCGCAGGCCATGGAACATTCACAAAGCTCATGCATTTCAAATGGCGCCGACATGACGTCAGTTGTAAAAAGTTCCGAAGAGTGCAGCTGCCTTAAATTGCATCATGATGACATGCGATCATGCATTTTACACAGATCTTCTGAGTACAACTCAAAAAGAATGGGAAATACTCTGCGAGATCGTCTTGGACACAGAAAACCGTCGTTTGATGCGTTAAAAGTTGTAACCATCCTTTGATGCGTACTTCTCTTGCATCTCTACCACCGAACACCTACAGCGATGATCGGATACATAAAGTATCGGGTTTCAAGAGCATACCTCGAGACTGTCGGGCGCGATGACAAAGCGAACCCTCCAAGGTTCTTTCAGTATTAAATGTCAAGGAAGAACCAGCACACATTTGCCACGTAAGAGATATGGAGAGGGAAATATTTCTAAAATTTTTACACAGAGAGAGAGAGAGAGAGAGAGAGGGACACCGTGTTTCCGCTGCGACAGCGAAAAATGTGCGTGATCTCGTCCCCGAAACTCCTCAACGGAAATGCTTGAGTTTCAGGGGGGGGGGGGGATAAAAAAGAANGAGGGAGGGAGAGAGAGAGAGAGAGAGAGAGAGAGAGAGAGAGAGAGAGAGAGAGAGAGAGAATGTGTGGATTTGATATTTGTTCGAGAGAGGGGAACTATTTCTGAATTTCGCACAAGTTTCAATTTTGTCTGCAGCGGTGAACCACAATTCTGTTGCTCTCGGAAAATATGATTTGAGTACCATCCGCCATTTTTTCGGGAAAGTTGCAGGACATTTTTCAGGAAAACATCAGATAACCAGAAAGATATCACTCAGAACAATGGAAAAGTTATCCATGCATGGATCTTGAAGGCGCGGGTATAACGCAGTCAATTACTTTACGAACCGTTCAATTCTCAGATGGAATGACGAATTTATCTCAGCAATCTGCATATTATTCAAATCGTACTTGCCAACCAATGTAGCTGGAACCATACAATTTGAAATACTGTACTTTGAAAGCGAATGAAATTGGGTTTGATTTGTGTTAGGGGGTATCTCAAAGCATGCAGAATACTGCATTGCACGCCTAGAAATTGGTCTGATCCTCGTCCATCCATTGCATTGTTGCATTTGAAAAGAAATCTTGTTATATGTACAGCTAGGTGGGGATCATGTCTTCGGCATTTCCGCAGCCGGTCATCCCGCCGTTTATTTCTTCTTCACTTTTAAATTAAGTCAAAATTCTGGATTCGGTGAGAAAATATCTATGAACGCAACGCATACAGGTCCTTCGTTACCCTTGCATTAGTATTCTGACTCGGATTATACCCAGAGACCGTTTAACAGTCTTCGAGTGGGCTTCCTCTTTTGAAACGCCAGATGAGTAATTGTCCTTTGAGGGAAGGCCTTGATACGAGAGACAAGAGAATGTCGTGTTTCTTGACAGCAGGGAAGCAAAATATGCCGACCCTACCCATGAACATGTAGCCCACTATCGAGTTTTTGTAACCGAAACATGACCTCCTCCCTCATCATTCTGAACTATTCATTGCCCTTGAGCATCTCGCGTACCCAGGTTCCCATCGGTGATCATGTGCTTTTTGAGCGAGCATTGGGTACTACAGTATATGGACATTCGCGAGGTAAATCATTCCAACCATTGCACGGGATGTCCGTACGTAATGGCGATCGTTGAGGCCCTTTCCTTTCCGATGTGAGCATCAGCATCCTTGGTTGTTGAATGGGAATAGTTGAGAAACCATTGAGACGTGGCGATTCTTTTCTCCATGAGTTGAATTGCATAGTTGGTGATGGTTTCGTGACATTGTCTTCCCTGAACACAGAGCCGAAGATAACAATAGAAGGGAGTCCTATGATATTCGTAGAATACGGGGACGGCATCGACATCCAGTGCGGGATCCGAGACGGGGTCGAGGCGCCGCAAATCGTCATGTGGTACCATAACGACGTGCCGGTCCTGTTGGAGGAGCGGAGTGGCGCCCACAAGCCATGGGTCATAAAGACCGAGCGATTATCTGCCACAGAGGTTCAAAGCATCCTGCGACTCGAGCAAGTGGAGCAGCGGGATTCTGGGGTTTACTACTGCCAACCATACCCGTACATAGAGCCCGTGAACGTGTCTTTGCGTGTGCTACAGAATGGTGAGTAGCCGTAGTAGGCCAATATTACAGCTAGGACTTTCACACGAATCGGTGATGAGGGTACCACTATTAGTGGTACTTGGGCACCTGCATGGGCAAGTTGCATGTGACGCTGAGACGAGCTTTCGAATGAATGGCATTTAATTTTAAAAAGAGTGGGAAAGGAGTGAAATGATGTAAGAAAACTAATGATGTTTTCGATTGATTGATATACAAGCTGTATTTCCGCTTTTTTGCATTCAAACTACTGTATATCAGAACGAATGATTTGAAATGTGAACTTGTACAATTTGACTCGACCAAAGAGACAGAGAACCTGCAGTCATTGAACACAGAATGAGAGATAGCTCACGTAATGGTGGAAATTGTTCAGGCTTGAGCTTAATTCTAAAGTCGAACCTCCCTAAATAAATTTGAAAGTACAGTAGTCTAAAAATTGGATAAGGATGTTTCAATTTAGAGAATAAATGACCTACTTTTTGTTTGGTAATCAATTGAAATTATTTTCGGGAGTAACTAATCAAAGAGTTTATCATTCGTAGATGTCCTACCCAAGAGATATTGCCAATGTTCTCGTGGAAATAAGCATCAAAATACAAATTTTTTTACGTTCTGATGGATCAGGCCAGGGTTCCAATATTTAGCCCCAGTTTAACAGCGCTGTTAGAGCCTCGTTGGGTCTACCGTGTGTTGCTCAAATTTGCATTGGATACCAGTAAATTAGC